GTTGGAGTCTCATTCTGTCGCCCAGGCTGGAGTGCAGTGGCACGCTCCCGGCCACCGCAGCCTCGACCTATTGGGCTCCGGCAAGCCTTCTGCCTCAGCTTTCCAAGGAGCTGTAACTACAGGCGAGTACAACCATGCCCGGCTAGTTTTTTGATTTGTTGTAGAGATGAGGTCTCATCATGTTGCCCAGGCTGGTCTCAAACCCACAGGCTCAAATAATCCGCTCGTCTCGGTCTTCCAAAGTGCCAGGATTATAGGTTTGAGCCACCATACCCGGCCAATTTTAGCTGTTTCCCCCCCCCTTCTTAATGTAAACATGTGCTCTTTATGACAAATAATATTTCTTCATAGTATGACATATAACTTTATCCTTATGCTATTAATCAAAATCACAAATCTTTTTTTTGAGTTGGAATCTCACTCTGTCACCCAGGCTGAAGGGCAGAGGCACACTCCTGGCCACCACAGCCTCAACCTGCTGGGCTCAGGCGATCCTTCTACCTCAGTCTTCCAAGTAGCTGGAACTACAGGCATGCGCCACCATGCCTGGCTAATCTTTTAATTTTACTGTAGAGATGAGATCTCGCCAAGTTGCCCAGGCTGGTCTCAAACCCATGGGCTCAGGCAATTCTCTCACCTCGACCTCCCAAAGTGCTGGGATTATAGACATGAGCCACCGTGCCTGGCCTAAAATGAAGTCATTTCTTAGTCCTTTCTAGTTTCCTTCTCTCTCTCTCTCTTTTTTTTTTTTTACACTTTCTTCTACTTTATTGTATATATAGAACAAATTGTATTCTTCCTTCACATAATTTCTTCCTTTTAAAAGTGTTCTCAAACATCTTTTTCTCCATAAAACGTTTTCCCATGAGGAAAGGGAAAATATCTACCTCTTCCAAACATTTGTCAGACAGCACTATTCCTCGTATAATCCAAACCAGATCACAAAATCAGATTTGTAAAAGCCACTAATTAGTCTCTTTGGTCTCCAGACCACAAGGTGAGAAGCTGTGTCTTCAAGTCTTTCTTGCCAACCTACCATGAAAAATTGCCTGAATTTAACAGATTTACTAATAAGGAGCTATCTTAAAGTTATTTTATTAATTTTTTGAAAACTTAAAATTTCTTTTTACTATTTCTTTTTTCATTATAATGACCTTCAGCCTATGTAAATTACAATATTATTTTAAATCTTTCCAATGACAAAATCATTAAGTCCACAGCACCAGTAGTTTCAGAGAGGCGATCTCTGTTTAATATGAGAACCATATTGTAGCAAATATTTCTACCAGGTATAAAGCTAAACTAGATAATCTCTAAGGTCTCTTCCAACTTTGGGATTCATAATACAAATGCAATTCATGATAAATGGTTTTTCTCCTCTCACTTGTTTCAAAGACCTCAAATAAAGGTACAAAAAGTTATATATGGCCATAGGATGATATTATCATATGATTCTTAATATTCAAGAATATAGCATATCAATAAGCCATTCACTTTCAATAACTGGGCAAAGAGTTGACAAAAGGCTTGTCACAAAATAGTCTCTAACTTTATGTAGCTCTTGGATAGTTTCTTTGATGCTTATTACATAGGGATTGAAGGGGTGGAGGTGTTAGAAAAAGTAAGAGAATAGGATAAGGATTAATCTTAAAAATATATGTTACTGCATGACCTCACTCACATGTGGAATCTAAAAAAGCTGATCTCATAAATGAAGAAAGTAGAATGGAAGTTACCAGGGGCCGGAGTGGTTAGATGTTTGTGAAAGTAAAGTTTCAGTGAAATAGGAGAAATCAGTTCAAAAGACCTTTTGCATAACATGGTGACTATAGTTATAACAATATGCTGCATTCTTGAAAAACGCTACAAGGACACATGTTAAGTGTTCTCATCACAAAAATGATATCTATGTTAGGTAATACATATGTCAGTTAGCTAGATTTAACCATTCCACAATGTATATATTCAAAACATCATGTTGTACAATGAATACAATTTTAACTTTATTTTTTATTTTAACTTTTAACTTTATTTAAAAATGAAAATCATATCTATATACTAGGGCTGCCAAGTAAATGTATACACTTTTTTTTTTGATTTGGAGTCTCATTCCGTGGCCCAGACTGGAGTGCGGTGGCACACTCCTGGCCACCGCAGCTTTGACCTGCTGGGCTCCAGCGATCCTTCTGCCTCAGCCCTCCAAGTAGCCAGAACTACAGGTGTGCGCTACCACACCCAGCTAATTTTTTATTTGCTGTAGAGATGAGGTCTCGCCAAGTTGCCCAGGATGGTCTCAAACCTACAGGCTCAGGCAATCCACTTGCCTCGGCCTCCCAGTGCTGGGAATGACAGGCCGAGCCACCGAGCCTGGCCATGTATACACATTTTAAGCGATGTTATCTATGTATTACTTTTAGTTCGCTGTAATCAGAAGTGTCTGGATGCCAATGGTAACCACAATGCTGATGGTAACTCAACAAATGTGTGAATAAAGAGAAAAAGAGAAAAGTTGTGGAAGAGAGATAAGAGGAAAAGGCACATGAAAGGGAAGGGAGGGTGGTAAAAAGGAAGAGAGAGAAAGAAGAAACAGAAACAAGAGAGAGACTTTGTCAGCTGCTACCAAAAGTCTATAAGGAAAGGAGTTAGTTATAAACAGTATGTATTTCCATTTACTAGAATATATTTATTTTTGCTATGTTGAAGTATGTGATGTCAGTTTTCAGGATCTTCTCTACCATGCTTCCACTAAGATAGAATTTATTAAACACTCTTTTTAAACTTCATACTACTTTTCTATTCTCCATTATGTCACTCTTCATACAGGATTTGTGATTACTTGCTTATTTGTCAATCTCCTATACAAAATTGTGAGGTACTGAGATAGAGTATCTTTTTATTCTCTGCATTTCTGACACTTGCATCATGCCTGGCACAGAGAAGATGATAAATAACAGATGGACAGATAAATGCATCAGTTGATAAATGGTTGGATAAATGGTTGGAATGAACAAGTAATGGATCTGCTAAGGCATACTTCACTACGTAACAATATATTCTGACCCATAAACAGAAGAAATTGATTTAAAATTTCCCATGAAGCCGGGCTTGGTGGCTCAGCCTATAATCCCACGCTTTGGGAGATTGAGGTGAGTGGATTGCCTGAGCCTGTGGATTTGAGAACCGCCTGGGCAAGTTGGCAAGACCTCATCTCTACAATAAATAAATTTTAAAAATTAGCCAGGTGTGGTAGCCAGTTCCGGTTCCGGCTACTTGGAAGGCTGAGGCGGAATGATTGCCGGAGCCCAGCAGGTCAAGGCTGCGGTGGCCGGGAGCAGCCACTGCACTCCAGTCTGGGTGATAGAGTGAGACTCCAACTCAAAAAAAAAAAAAAGTTTCCCATGACGTTAAAGTCTTCATTACAGCCTAAAGCAGAATTAAAGTAGGCACTGCATTGTACATACAGGTATGATAGATAAATTTGTGAGTATATGTAGATCAGATACATATGCATATATTTTTAAATATTTCTGATGATCTTTTAAAAATACATACCTGGCAAAACACAGGTTTATGGACACTGGAAAAAAATTGCAACAGCTCTTCTGAATCTCTGTAGTCACTAGGGAGTTTATCGATACAAAGGCACTTAGAATGAATGAGCTCTGAAGCCAATAGGTTAACATCCATCCATTGTGCAAAGAGTGCTGATGCTCCCAACTGTTTACCCAACAGCTCCAGTCTAGCCTTTGCCGCAAAGTCCTTTTTCATGTATTCCACAAATCCATAGCCTTTGGAATGGCCAGTCACTTCGCTGTAGACCAGAAAACACCTCTCGATATTTCCATAAGCACGAACGAGTTCTTCAAACTCTTCCAATGTAAAACAAACAGGCAGGTTGGTCACACACAACAAAGCATCTGTTGGTTGGAACTGGACTACTAAGTCTTTTCCTCGAAAGGAATGCTGATGGAACATCTGAATTGCATTCTGGGCTTGTTCCCCATTCAGTAAGGTAACAAAAGCTGGAAGACAACAAAATGAATAAGAGTTTTCGAGGCCAGTGTCTTCAAATTGTTTTGATTGTGACCCACAGTAAGAAAGACATTTTATTTCTGTGATTCGGTTCACACAAACTTTTTTCCGAAAAAAAATTGTCATGAAGTAATACCCCTACTACATACAATGCATTCTGATATTTTTTTATTCTATTCCACTTTGGATTTTTTGTTTGTTTTTTAATTCTGGCACCTCCACTAAACTAATTTCATGACCAGTAACTCAAATAGAAAAAAAAAGGATAGGACTTGCATTAGAAGTTTCACTGTAAAATCCTATTATATATTTTTAAATATTTTTGTAATCTTTTCCAACCACACATATTTGATTCTCCCCTCTATAAAAACTGTGATATAAGATTTTATGAAGCTTTTATATAAACCCTCACTGAAATAAAACTGAGCTTACAAAACCTTTTTTCCCAGAGTTTTTTTTGACAGCAAGGATCTGAAAAAAATGAAGGCACAGCAAAAAGACACCAAAGTGCCCAAAGGAGGTCAGTTCTTTCTCCAAGTCATATATATACTTCCTTAAAATCAGATTAATTAGATTGAAACAGCATACACACACACACACACACACACACACACACACACACACACACACACACAAAATTTGGTATACTTTTTGTGATAAACAATATCAAATGAAAAGATCCTAAGATTCTGATATTGAACAAGATCTTAAACAATCAAAACATTTGTCTTATCTACCTAATGAAGTTCTTTTAGGATCAAGTCACAAATGCACACGACAATTTATATAACTAAAAAAAAAAAAACAAAAAACAAAACAAATGTAAGGTCCTAAACCATAAAATATCATGCACTTTCATATCTGGTAAAATTAAATTTTACTCATGTTAATTTGTCTACCTGTTGTCATATAAGAATTTAAGAGGTTTCGAGCAATTTTATAGGAAAAAGTTAAAGTGCCCATTAAAAACAAATAACAGGGCAATCCAAATTACAAATGAATTGCTCTTTAAAAGTTCCTCCCTTGGAACATACAGTACTCCCCTGAACATTTAGTTCACCCAAATTCAATTAGAACAACATGGTAATATGTTGCATATGGTAAATATGTATACAGCAAGAGACCAAGAAAGATTTTACATAGCATGGGCCATTCTGCCTGTGATCTCACTCCATCTGATCTCCCCTCAATTGGTCTTAACATCTATGCAGCTTTCAGAGACAGAAAGCATCTCACCACACTGAGTGTGACACAAACATTTAAAGAAACACATTTCCATTTAACAAGGTCTCCACATGCAAGGAAACTATGGCTGAAGGAACAGTCAACTCTTCCAACACTAGAGAAAGTATGGCTTTGCTGCTCTTATTGAGAGACTATCTCTTGGTTTCCAACATCCTATTTAAAGGGGTTCAACTACTTTGTCATTTTCCTTATACTGACACAAAATACCATTTAACTCTGTTTTCCTAAAACAAGCAAGTTAGTAAATACTGGTTACGGTTCTATATCAGCCCATAAAATCATTAGATAATACTTGAATTCTCAGGGTATTTGAAACTGTTAACCATTCTCTTTCTTAACTTCCTTGACATACTCCTTCCTGATCCTCCCGGTAACTTGTCCAAGTACACTATTTTCTTTGCTACATCTTTCTCCTTTGCTCACACTTTTAAGAAGGCACACTTTAGGGTGTCTTCTTGGCAGATTCACACACGGTCACACCTGTGTGGATGAACACAGCAGCCCTGAGCCACGAGATCCCCCCTCTCACACTCCACAACCTCTTCCTCTGGGGCAGTCATGCCCACTCCCAATTTATTCAGGACCATGTGCCAGGTAACAAATTAGGCTCTGGAAAAGCATTGCTGAACAAAACAGGTAAGACCCCTCTCAACATAGATCTCACAATCTAGTAGGTGATGTTGGACATTTCATGAAAAATTACAAATGTGGTGTCATTGAAAGGGAGATACAGGAGCCATGAAAGCAATTAAATAGGGCAAAATAACCTCTTCTGAGTACTCACAGAAGGCCTCCTACACCCTTGTTATTCCCCAGTCTATGTTTCTAACCTTCAGTTCCACATACAAGGGGAGACCCCCCCAAAACTGGTATTTATTAAAAACTGTGTATTTACTCTTACATTTAAACTTCAGTAACCTTCAAAGTAGTCTCCATTTCATGCAATACACCTATGGAGATGCTTCCTGCACTGCTCAAAATAGTTTTTGAATGCATCAATTTTGATGCCTTTCAGTGTTTCTGCCATTTTTTGTTTCACCTCTTCCACATCAGCAAAACGTTTCCCTTGAGGACGTTTTTCATCCGAGGAAACAAACAAAAAATAGCTTAAGGTAAGATCAAGCGAAGAAGGAGGGTGGGATGTGGAGGTCATTCCGTTTTTGGTCAAAAACCGCTGGACACTCAGCATGGTGTGGGCAGGTGCACTCATAAATCACCCATTGTGGAGTGTGCAAACGTGTTGAAAGAATTGATTCCTCCCCCCCAAAAAAACCTCACTTAAGCCAAATGCAGCCGGTCACAACAATACTAGCTGGTACACTGATGCCAGTTAGTTCCTAGAACACTCACCTAGCAGGGGAAGCCTGTGCTACAAGGGATCCACCCTTCAAAAGATAATTCCAGTTTTGTGGTTCCTCCTCATAGATTTACATACTGGTTCCCAAACCTAACTCACGATCATCCTATCTCTGTCCCCCAAAGAGAAAAAAAAAAAAAGAAAGGAAATCCTAACACTATTCACCTTTCTTTATTCCCTATTTTAGCTGGTAGTGCCATACTCACAGATATAAAACCTGGGAGTTAACCTAGACCCTGTCTCCCTCATCTCCCATAAAAGAGAATCACCAAATTCCACCTTACAAAGAGGTCTTGAATCTATCCTCTTTTCTGCATTCCTCTAACTTCTCCTCTTTTTTATATCCCTTTTCCACAATGACAATAAAATGATCTCTCAAAAACAGAAGTTTAATCGTATCTGTTTGCTGCCTAAAATGTACGGGTTTGGTGTAACCAACAAAAAAAGCTAAGTCCCAGCTCAGTTACCATGCCCTCCGAGACCCTTTGTGACCCGACTCCAGCCTCATTAACTGCCATACTTCCTCCCCTCCCTACCAGTTCTTTAATCTCTAACAATACTGAATTATTTGTATCTTCCTGTTGATATCAAGTTGTTTCAGGCATCCACACACTACACAGGTAATTCTCCTGCCTTCAACATCCATCCCATGTCTTTGGCTATCCCAAACCTTTTAGTTGACTATCAAATCCAGCCCAGGCATGATCTCCAGGAAGCCTTCCCTGATCTTCTCTCCTAGTTGGAGCTAACCATTCCTTGTTTTATTATACCTCTATGCTGTGAACATTGCAAGATTGTTGCACATATCACATTATGTTGTAGTTTATTTGTATAGGCGCCTGCTACCCTACAAAACTTTGAGCTCCCTCAATTACTGACTGTATCTGCATCAAAGGGCATAACATATAGTAGAAGCTGTGTGTCAGATGAATGAATGAATGTATATATATACTGATCAACTAAAAAATTTAAAAACTGACAATCCTTTATTTTTCCTTCCCTTAGGTAAATGTGTTTGCTCAACCAAAATAACAAATTTTGTGGTAGAATGTAAATAACATAATGAAGCAAACTTAGAAGTTGAAGCATTAGGGAAAACAGGTTATTTTTCTCCCTCTTTAGCTTCTTCTATTTTTTTCTAAAATCACACATTCTCTAAAACTAAAAATGCTTTCTTAGGCTGGGCATGGTGGCTCACGCCTATAATACCAGCACTTTGGGAGGCTCAGGTGAGAGGATTACTTGACCCCAGGAGTTTGAGACCCCAACATAGCAAGACCGCAACTATACAAAAAACCCAAAAAACTAGATGAGTGTGGTGACACATGCCTGTAGTCCCAGCTACTTGGAGGGTTGAGGCAGAAAGATCACCTGAGTCCAGCAGGCTGAGACTGCCACAAGCCATGATCATGCCACGGCACTTCAGCCTGGGTGACAGAGCAAGACTCCGACTCATAAACAAACAAATAAAATAAAATTTCTTATACTGGCTTTCAGAGAAGTGGCAGCTATCACTCTAAAGAGAAAAGGCTATATGGAAATTTGAGATGAATTATATTATTATTTTCCTAGTGAAATTTAAATATCCCACAATTGCTCCTACTTCTTTTAAAAGTCATTGCTTGATCTACTACTTAATTTGTTATTGGGTCAAATTTGAAGGCAAACATGCCAAAACCTTTCACCCGAATGTATCCTCTTTTAATACAATAATTTTCTCATATCTATTATGGAAAGCTCTGGTTGCAAGGTTATAGCTTCCGATGGCAACTATCTTTTATCAATTGATTTACCAATTACATGTTTCTAAAAACACCATTATGGCTACAGATATCCAAGGCAAGATTATTTAATGCAATTAACGAGTTTCTTTGTTGTGTTATTTTAGGGGGTGATTTAGGGTCTATGCAGTGGTCCCCAACCTTTTTGGCATCAGGGACCAGTTTCATGGAAGACAATTTTTCCACAGATGCTGGGCAAGGGGTGGGGTGGGGGTGCCCCTATGGGGGCAAAAGGGACACAGGTGGGAGGATCAAGAGGCATTAGATTCTCTTAAGGAGTATACAATCTAGATCCTTCGCATGCACGGTTCACAACAGGATTCACGCTCCTCTGAGAATCGAATTCCGCTGCTGCTCTGACAGCTCCACTCAGCTGCCACTCACCCGCTGTGCAGCCCAATGAACAGCACCGAACAGAAGCAGTCTGCAGCCTGTGAGCTGGGGACTACTTACCTCTCCTGCCCAGTGGTATTATACCACTTCACGAACAGTATAAGAAATTTACCACAGTGTACTTCCATCTCTCCACTCCCAGCCTTTGCAATATTACTACTTTACATTTTATTTCCACAAATTGAAACCTCACAGTACAGTGTTATTTTTGCTTTTAATCGTCAAGTATCTTTCAAGGAAATCTAAGTGTTATTTTTTAAAAAGTCTTTACCAACATAATGACCATATTTGGAATTCATCACTTTATTGTGTAGGTCCAATTCCATCTACTAAAATTTTCACTCTGCTTGAGGGACTTCCTTAAGTATTTCTTAAAATGCAAGTCTGATGGAGATACATTCTTACAACTTTTCGTACCACAGAAAAAACATCCTTATTTCACTCTTCTTTTTGAAAGGTATTTTTGATGGGTAAAGAATTCTACAATTTTCTTTTAGTAAAGAAAGAAGGCCAGGAGTAGTGACTCATGCTTGTAATCCCAGCACTTTCGGAGGCTGAGGCAGGAGGTTTGCTTGAGCCCAGGAGTTTTAGACCAGTGTAGGCAACATAGTAAAACCTCGTCTCTATTTAAAATAATAAAAAATTTAAAAAGCCAGGTGTGGTGGTACATGCCTGTAGTCCCAGCTACTCAAGACGCTGAGGTGGAAGGATTGCCTGAGCTCAAGAGGTAGAGGCTGCAGTGAGCCATAATCATACCATTGCACTGCATTCCAGCCTGGACAAGAGAGTGAGATCCCCAACTCAAAAAGAAAAAGAAAGAAAAGTTGTTGCCTGATGGTCTTCTTACTTGTGTTGTTTCCATAAAATCTAGGGGATCATCTTAATGTAATGTATTGTTTTTTTCTGACTGTTTTTAAGATTCTCTATCGCTAATTATAAGCAATTTGATTACAACATACCTTGTCATTTTCTTCATACTTTTGTGAGTGAGGTTGTGAACTTTTAGATCAGAGTTCGCATCAAATTTGAGATTTTTTTGGCCTTAATTCTTTAAATATTTTTTCTGTACTATACCCCCCTTCCAAGACCCCAATCACTGCAATATTTGGACTCTTGAAGTTGTCCTACAGATCACTGACACTCTGTTCATGTTTTATAGTCTTTTTTGTCTTTGTGTTTCATTTTGGTTAGTTCCTATCACTGTTTTCAAGTTTACTAATCTTTCCTCCTACAAAGTCTACTCTGCCATTAATCCTATCTAGTATGTTTTTTATTTCAAACATTGCAATTTTCATCTCTAAGTTTGACTGGAATAATTTTTTATATCTTTCATGTCTCTTCTTACCATGTACAATCTTTACTATAGTGTCTTACATATACAGAACACAATTATAAAAATTCATTTAATGTCCAATTTCATTAATTCATCTGTGTCAATTGTAGGTCCCTTTTGACTGATTGATTTTTCTCCTCATTATAGGTTATATTTCTTTGCTTTTTTGCCATGTCTGTTTTTTTATTTTTTATTTTTTTTTGAGTTGGAGTCTCATTCTGTCACCCAGACTGGAGTGCAGTGGCCGCTCCTGGCCACTGCAGCCTCGACCTGCTGGGCTCCGGTGATCCTTCCGCCCCAGCCTTCCAAGTAGCTGGAACTATAGGCGCGTGCCACCACACCCGGCTACTTTTTTTATTTATTGTAGAGATGAAGTCTCGCCAAGTTGCCCAGGCGGGTCTCGAACCCGCGGGCTCAGGCAATCCACTCACCTCAGCCTCCCAAAGCATAGGATTACAGGCTGAGCCACCGAGCCTGGCTTTTTTTTAAGTTGGATGCCAGATATCATAAATTTTACCTTGTTGGGTGTTGAATGTTTTTGTATTCCTATAAGTAGTCTTGAGTTTTGCTCCAGGATGCAGTTAAGTTACTGGGAAACAGTTTGATCCTTTCTGGGCTTGTTTTACATTTCTGGTCTTGTTTTTCTGTTTTGTTAGGTAGGACAAGAGCATCATTTTTCTCGAGACAATCTTCCCCACTAGTGAGACAAAACTCTTCTGAATATTCCTTCTGATGTCCCGTGAACTGTGAGGTTTATCATCCTGGCTAGTGGAAATCGCACTGTTCCTGGCTCTGTGTGAAAACTGTTACCTCTACTCTCCTTGTCAATATCTAGTAACATTAATGTTTTGCATACCTATGACTCAGAGCTTCAATTATACATAAACAGTTACAGTGTATATTAGAAGACAACCAAAAGGATATTCATTGCATCATAGTTTGAAACAGTGGAAAATTAAAGCTCCTGAATGTCAATTAGTAATGAATACATCAATTATAATAAATTCACATGACAATAATATGTAGTAATTTATTTATTTATTTGTTTTTGAGTTGGAGTCTCACTCTGTCACCCAGGCTGGAGTGCAGTGGCATGCTCACGGCCACCCCAGAGTCAACCTGCTGGGCTCCAGCGATCCTTCCGCCTCAGCCTTCTAAGTAGCCAGAACCTAGAGGCACGCACTACCACACCTGGCTAATTTTTGATTTATTGTAGAGATGAGGTCTCGCCAAGATGCCCAGGCTGGTCTCAAACCTGCGGGCTCAGACAATCCACTCACCTTGGCCTCCCAAAGTGCTGGGATGACAGGCTGAGCCACCGAGCCCGGCCATATATAGTAGTTTAAATCAATTAACTACAGTCATATGTATCAACATGGAAAGATCTGAAAAACAATGTTGAGTTTTTTAAAAAAGCAAGTTGCTAAATGAACGTTACAGTAGAATACCATTTATGAAAAGCTGAAAAGAAAAACATAGAGAATAAGGCTATTAATTACATATATGTATATGCAAAAATTCCAGGTACTAGTCAAGATACTGCAGTAACTAACAGCCCCCATCATCTCAAAGGCGTAACGAAACAAAAGGTTTTCTTCTTGTTCGAGCTGTGTCTTCCACGCTTAAGGGAAGGAAGGAAGGAAGCTTTGCTCATTATGGCTACTCTGAGGCCTAGGTTGAAAGAGGCTCTATTATCTTCCCCAATTACTTTAGCAGGGGAAGCGTGACTAGTGAATCTCACACTGGCTCTAAAATCTTCCGCCTAGAAGGGATACATGTCATTTCCACTCTCATTTCATTAATCAAAAAGCAAACCACAAGTCCACTCCTAACTTCAAAGAGGGATAGGTAGCTACTATCTTACCTTATGCCCAGAAGAAAAAGAATAAGAATCTGTGAACAGTTCTAATGACCACCACAGTATAATGGCACAGATTGGAAAATATGCACTAAATTCATAACTGCTTGCCTCCAGGCAAGGAGGAAGGGACAGAACAGAATCAGAGTAAAGTGAATTTCATCTTTATCTGTAATGTTCCTTTTTACTGTTTTTTTAATCTGAAAACATTCAGTCTATGTTAGAGCTCTAGACATGTGTCTGTTTTTAAAAGACAAAACATTAACATTTGCTAATTTGGGAGTGAGTATGTATTGGTTATATCATTTTCTATACTTTATTTCCATTATTATGTCAAAAAGATGCTTTTAAACAGTTACATATCACATGCACACAAATGAAATAACCCAGCTTAGTCTTTTAATCTCACAGATATAAAACTAATAACCAGAAAAACAAAGTGAGTTTCCCCATGTGCCCAGCTAATAGTCAAGTCATGCAGTCTATTCCCTAAGTCCAGTAATACGTCATTAAAATCTAGGGATATCATGCCTATGCAGAACACTCATTATAAAAACGTATATGTCTCTATTAAAACTATACTAACTTATGCAATTAAAATTTAGGATACTAAAAAAAATAAGAAATTTAAAAATAATAAAGTTTAGGATACTAATATTACCTTCAGAAAATAAATTGCATGTATAACATTTGTGTGATTTAATACTTAAGAACATCATGATTAGCTTAAGCTCACAAAGACACTAAGCTTTGTTGCTCTATAATGAATATAAGTAGAATAAAATTAAAATGATGCATACAACTGAAATCTTACCTGTTCGTTTATTTCTGTCCACATAACAATACTTTAAGTCATAGTCCTTTAACAAATCATGAACTTCCTGAAAGAGACAAAACCAGAAACTCAATAAACACAAACGCAGGTACAAGATGATCTCATTCTATGAGCCTGCCCTCACCACCACCATCACCACCACTAGGCCTATGCAAAAAAAAAAAAAAAAAAAACCAAAAACCAAAAAACATGGATTCCCACTACTTATTTAAATTAAAGGCATCTGAGGCCCACCAGACATGGTACCAGCCTACTTCTTTCAATCTTCCCCCAATATAAACCATACACATAGTCAATACTCCTGCTCAAATAGAATATTCACTCTCTCGTGAGTATACCATGAGCTGTCCTTAATCTGCATCTACTCGCATTCATACCTTGACCTACTATGGGGCAAACATATCACTAAATGTACCAACCTTTGCCTGAAATCACATGCATCCTTCAGAATCCAGCTCAAATGTCCTTTCTTGAAACTTCTTCTGATAATTTTCCACAGAACACAACTTCTCCTTCCTTTACACTATCAATGGCCATAACTTTATTTATGCCTCTCTTATGGAAAAAAGTATTATGCTTACTTTTATTTCTGTGTGCGACATACTGAGCTTTTAACAAGCAATACACCTGTAGATGCTAATAGCACAAACATGTGGAATAAATACATGTAGATTGTAAGCCTTAACTTAGAGATCCCTGGATATGAAAACAACTAACAACCAACAAGGTATAGTATGCAGTTCAATTTATTCCCCCTTACTTTCTAAATAAATTAAATGAAATATAGTTTATTTAGAAAGTAAATTGGAGGGAGAGAGAATGAGAAAGAGGAGATTCACCTCCCCAAGGTAGGAGAGAGGGCCAAAGCCAAGAAACATGGCCTGGTCATAGCTCAAAGGGCACACGGCCATACCATAGCTTAGCAAGACAATGGCCTAAACTTTTTTCTTCTGACAGCACAAGTTCCATCCACTTGGGAGTCCAAAAGCGTAGATCTTCTCTATTTCCCTAATCCTTCCTGCTAAACTGATAGTACTTAGGAACAGAAACTGTATCTTATACATTTCCTGAATCCTTACTATTAAACTCATAGTTCTTGGGAACAGAAACTGTATTTTACATATTTGTATATTCCCTGTTTTGCTTTGCATATGGTAGGCATTCAAATATACATTAAAGCGAATACAATTTGTGTTGGTGTTGAATTGCTATGTGGTCCTGAAAATTTTACTCATAATACACAATAGATGCAGTTACAATTTCTCAAAGGAACTGGACTATCACACAGGTAGACATTCTGACCCCAGAACAGACAGGTACAGCTAATCCCTTCTATATTGCAATTTACTTTCTAAATAAACTATATTTTATTTACACATATACATGGGCTAGTATGTCAGGTACATAATCTAAAATGCTTAATTCAATAATAATAATCATCTAATTATTGCTATTATTATGGTTAAAGTTATTTAGCTTTTACTAGGCACCAGGTACTGAATTCACTTCTTTTATTAAAAATCAGGAAAAGTAGAATGAAATCACAGAAGTCATTTATTCATCTAATCACTTGCTTCGAGAAGATCCACTCTGTAGGTCTGGCTCCAGGGATGACTCTGGACATCCATGCCATATTGCCTTATTCCTTCTTGTATAAACTTTAAAAACTGTACACTACCATTGACAGTTATAAAAACAATACTGGCTGGGCACGATAGCCCATGCCTATCATCCCAGCACTTTGGGAGACCAAGACGGGAGGACAGCTTGAGCCCATGGGTTTGAAAGCAGCCTGCGCAATATAGTGAGACCTCATCTCTACCAAAAAAAAAAGTTAGCCGGGCACAGGTGGCCTGCACCTGTAGTACCAGCTACTTGGGAGGCTGCAGCAGAAGTATTGCTTGAGTCCAGGACGTCAGGGCTGCAGTGAGCTGTGATTGTGCCACTGCACTCCAGCCTGGGCAGACCCACCCAGACAAAAGTGGGTCACCCCTCAATTTGAGCCTTGGTAAGTAGGCCAAGTTAAAAACTTAAAACCTGAAAGAGAGTCTTAATAACCGTTTGCCAAAATTCTTCCATGCTCTGTCACACAGAACTAAAAGGAATTGCAGCTCCCTATACTAACCTAGTTTTACAGCATTTCCACTTATCTGCTAATTTTAAGGAATGAAGTAGAATCTCTGATGAAAATACTTTATCCTCTGACTGCCAATATCAGTTGCAAACGTCTTAGAGCAGGAGAAGTTCATAAAAATCAGTGTTATGGCCAGGCTCGGTGGCTCAGCCTGTCATACCAGCACTTTGGGAGGTAGAGGTGACTGCTACGGGTTTGAGACCAGCCCGGGAAACCTGGTGAGATCTCATCTCTACAATAAATTTAAAAATTAGCCGGGTGTGATAGCGCACACCTGTGGTTCCAGCTACTTGGAAGGTTGAGGTGGAAGGATCACTGGAGCCCAGCGGGTTGACGCTGGGGTGGCCATGAGCGTGCCACTCCACTGCAGCCTGGACGACAGAGTGAGACTCCAATCCCCACCCCCCAAAAAAATTGATGTTAGCTAGCTTTCGTAACCTATTTCCAGACCAGATTCACTATGACTTGCTGAAGTTAAATGATAGGTTTTACACACATGAAATGTTTTCTAGAGAGAGGATTAATAGCTCCAACTCCAAAACAAAACCAAAACCAAAAAAATACCACTAGTGCCTTAATGAGCAATCATATAAGTACATGGAAATGGAAAATAAAGAAGAGGACAGTTACAAGGTGAAAAATGTTTTCACTTTTAACCCAATGCAAGAGGGAAAAAAGAGTGACATAACAGGCAAGTGTGAAAACATACAGCGGAGTGAAAACAAGATAATTCTCTATGATAAGAAAGATGGGCAACCCCCGGGAGTCCCCTCCCACTGTGGGAGATTTTCTGTCCTCTCAATAAATCCTGTTTTTTTTAAAAAAAAGATAAAGTTATAGTTGATAATTTAGTATTCAATATCAGTAGGTCAATATTAGAAATATTTAAAGGCACATACACTCACCAATTTTGTTAGCCATCATTTGTTGAATCATATGGTGCTATGCTCAACATACAGATTAGTTTACATATTAATATGGTAACTTTTCATCTTGTAAACATCAGTGTTTTCTTGGACTTGCAAAAACATATGCTGCATTGTTCACTAAAGTATAACTCTCTCAAAAGCATAACATGCACATCTTGCCAACTGACTGACACTGTGTATAGAAGGTGACACGGTTTTGTTTGAAGTGGTCCAGTGTATGCTTTTAGTTTCACAGAATCTAATCTCTCATTTCACTGGTTCACAGCCGTCAAATGCCAGATAAAGAAAACACGATACTGCTCTTCACCTTATCAAGTGTCCATAAACAAATGACATGCTACTCATTCAGCTAAGATAATTACCTAAGAGAGAGCACAAGTATTCAAAAACGCATTTGGCAACTGAGATATTTCATTTTGAAAACATCCATATTTCTAATCACAGCTCTTTCATGTATCAGACGTGGGATACAGAGTTTGCCAATTGGGGAACCTTACAAAACTTCCTACAAATAAAAAAAAAAATTACTTTTCTCCACGCCCTGGTTGCTCTGACTCAGGCAAAAGTGGGTCACCCCTCAATTTGAGCCTTGGTAAATTGGCCAAATTAAAAACTTAAAACCTGAAAGAGAGTCTTAATAACCGTCTGCCAAAATTCTTCCATGCTCTGTCACATAGAACTGAAAGGAGTTATAGCTCCCTACACTAACCTAGTTTTATAACATTTCCACTAATTGGCTAATTTCAAGGAATGAAGTAGAACCTCTGATGAAAATACTTTGTCCTCTGACTGCCAGTATCAGTCTTCGAGCAAGAGAAATTCATAAAATTGTCTTCAAGCAAGAGAAATTCATAAAAATCGGTGTCTGATAGCTTTCGTAACCTATCTCCAGACCAGATTCACTGTGATTCACTGAAGTCAAATGATAAGTTTTGCACATATGTTTTCTGGAGAGAGGATCAATAGCTTTCAGCGCAAAGCAATACGTCAAGGACCTCCCCACAATCCCCCAAATTAAATAGCTATTGTTTCAATTGGTCTGGAATGCACTGTCTTCTTACAGACTTAGTTTCTTTTCTTTTTTTTTTTATTAACCATATTTTTTGTTATAAAATTGTGGGGTACAGTTAAGGGTTAGGTATACAAATGTGCATC